ATTAACAACTTTTTAAAAGAACACAACAGAGAGTTCAATGATACAAATTTTAAATAATGATATAAATAGATAACATTAAACTTATGTTTATTAGTATCTCCATCAAATGCAATACATACACACACACACACACAGTCTGCTGAATACACACACACACAAGACTGCTGAATACAGAGACTGATGAATACACACACACAGACTGCTGAGTACACACACACACAGACTGCTGAGTACACACACAGACTGCTGAGTACACACACACACAGACTGCTGAGTACACACACACACAGACTGCTGAGTACACACACACAGGCTGCTGAGTACACACACACAGGCTGCTGAGTACACACACACAGGCTGCTGAATACATACACACACACAGTCCACTGAATACACACACACACAGTCCGCTGAATACACACACTGCTGAGTACACGCGCACACACACAGACTGCTGAATACACACACATACTGCATTGAGGGGTGTAGTGTATGTGTTTGTGTGTGGGGTGCTATGTGTGTGCTGTGTGTGTGTGTGAGGGGTGTTGTGTGGGGTGTTGTGTGTGTGTGATGGGTGTTGTGTGTGTGTGTGTGTGGGGGGTGCTGTGTGTGTGTGGGGGGTGCTGTGTGTGTGTGTGTGTGTGTGTGTGTGTGTGTGTGTGGTGGGGGTGCTGTGTGTGTGTGTGTGGGGTGCTGTGTCTGTGTGGGGGTGCTGTGTCTGTGTGGGGGTGCTGTGTGTGTGGGGGTGCTGTGTGTGGGGTGTTGTGTGTGTGTGTGTGTGTGTGTGTGGGGTGCTGTGTGTGTGGTGCTGTGTGTGTGTGTGGGGTGTTGTGGGGTGCTGTGTGTGTGTGTGTGTATGATTGGTGCTGTGTGGGGGGTAGGGGTGTTGGGTGGGGGTAAGGGTGCTGTGCTGTGGGATGTAGGGGTGCTGTGTTTGGGGTGTAGGGGTGCTGTGTGTGTGTGTGTATGATCGGTGCTGTGGGGGTAGGGGTGTTGGGCGTAAGGGTGCTGTGGGGTAGGGGTGCTGTGCTGTGGGGTGTAGGGTGCTGTGTTTGGGATGTAGGGGTGCTGTGCTGTGGGGTGGGGTGCTGTGGGGGTAGGGTGCTGTGTGTGGGGGGGTAGGGGTGGGGAGGGAAGCTGGGTGTGGGGGAGGGGAGGGATGCTGGGTGTGGGGGTAGGGCTTCTGTGTGTGGGGGGTGGTATTGGCACTCCGTGTGGGGGTGGTGAGTAGAGCTGCTGTGTGTGGGGCTGGGGTAAAGGTGTTAAAAAAAAAAGTATGCTAAATCAGTACCCCTTCGTACCTTTAATGAAGGTGGGGGGGGGACAGCCATCCCTGGTGGTCCGGTGGTGGTAAGTACTGCTTCCGTGTCGGGAGGCAGGGGAAGGCATCTGTGAAGCAGCAACCATCCACACAGCTTGCTCACGGGAGGACAGGGGAGCTGCTTTACAGATCCCTCCCCCTGCCTCCCGACACGAAAGCAGAGTAGGCGCCTGCCGTTGAAAGTGTGTTTTGTTTTGTTTTTCTATTGAGACTACGCTCTATTGTTAAGTATGGGTGCGTTGGATTCAAAGATCGTTGATCCCTTAGATTGCATGTTAAAGAATTTTAAAAAGGGATATAATGTATGTGATTTTGGGGTAAAGATGTCTCCAACACGTTTGATTACTTTATGTAGCAGGGAATGGCCTGCCTTAGTGGTTGCATGGCCTCCACGTGGTAGTCTTGATCCTAATCTAGTGCAGCGTGTACACGTAGCTGTATCTGGTAGGCCGGAACTTTACGACCAGTTTCCACATATTGATTGTTGGAAACAGGCCGTGGATGACTTGCCAAAATGGATCAGGGTGTGCCAAGAGGAGCAATGCCGCCTCCTGTTGGCCAGAACTCGTTTGTCCACCAAGGCTGTGATCACGCCCATTCTGGACACGCCCCCTGTGTCAGAGATTCCTTTACCGCCCCCTTACTCCTCCTCTAGAGGAAGAGGAGGTGCGGCTAGTAATGCCACTCCCCTTGCCCCATTGTCTCCTCCTACCCTATCCTCTAGCTCAGAGCCCAGCCCACTTGTTCTAAACCCTCCCCTTCCGGTACCTACCCCTACTAACTCCACCTATCCGGATTTGACGTAATTTCTGGTTCCTGGTCAGGCTCCTCCCAGCCTGGCCTGGAATATTCTGCTTACCAACCTCCCCTTCAGTAAAGAAAAAGTGTCCCCCTCCCCTCGTCTTACTACCCCTCGACCGGAACCCATAACTGACCTTCCTCAACGAAGCCCCATACTAACCTGACAATTGACCGGTACCCTTCAACCCTGACATTATCAAATGCCTCTCCGATTGACATCGGGCCCGACACACATTAATGGTGAAGGCCAGTTACAACATGCCGACCCCGTATTTGTTTATGCTCCCTTTACCACTACGGATTTGTTCAACTGGAAAACCCATAACTCCTCTTACACAGACAAACCTCAAGCCATGACAGATTTGATTACCTCCATAATCCAAACGCACAATCCCACTTGGGCTAACCCAGTCCATATACTTATCAAGGACCCAAAGCTATTTATAGATAAGTTTGGGAATCTATTTGGGTTCCAAATATATGGAACAGGTTTGGATCCTGGAACGATATTATACATAGGAATAGAGACAGATACAGTGGCCCCCCAGACTCATCAGGTTTTCCATTCTTTTTATGAGGAGATGAGTGTGGAAGATAAGGTTCCCCATAATGCCAAAAACTTATTCATAGACCTAGCTGAGAGCATTGCTGGTAGTCAGGGCCGCCATCAGGGCATGACAACCGTAACGGTTGTCATGGGCTCGGCGGTCCTGGGGGGCCCAGACTGCTCAGGTCGTCCGGGCCCCGCATTCAGTGGGTACATACCGGGTCGCAGGGGGCCCTGCGACCCCGGTATGTACCCACAGGGCCAGCCTCTTCTCCTGGGGGGCCCAGCAGCCGGTCACCTCGGGGGCCCCCCAGGGGCTGGCCCTGAAAGCCGGCCGGCGCGCGAGGGAGTACTCTCTGTGTGCTTCCTCTTCAGCTCCCTCGCGCACCGTACTGATGCCGGAGCCGGAAGATGACGTCATCTTCCGGCTCCGGCATCAGTACGCGGCGTGCGAGGGAGCTGAAGAGGAAGCACACAGAGAGTGCTCCGTCGCGCGCCGGCCTTTTTTAGGGAGGAAATTTGAGTGAGTGGGGTGGTAGGGGGGTTAGGGAGGAAATTTGAGTGGAGGGAGGGAGGGAAGGGAGGAAATTTGAGTGGGTGGGAGAGGGAGGAAATTTAAGGGAGTGGAGAGGAAGGAAATTTGGGGGGGAGAGGAAGGGAGGAAATTTGAAGGGGAGAGGAAGGACATTTGAGGGAGGGGGAGGAAGGAAATTGGAGGGGGAGAGAGGAAGGAAATTGAGGGGGGGAGAGAGGAAATTGAGAAGGATTGAGGGGAGAGAGGAAGGAAACTGGGGAGAGAGGAAGGAAATTGGGGGGAGAGGAAGGAAATTGGAGGGAGGGGGGAGGAGGAAGGAAATTGAGGGGGAGGGAGGAAGGAAATGAGAGGGGAGGGGAGGGAGGAAGGAAATGAGAGGGAGGGGGAGGGAGGAAGGAAATGAGAGGGGGAGGGAGGAAGGAAATGAGAGGGAGGGGGAGAAGGAAGGAAATGAGAGGGAGGGGGAGAAGAAGGAAATTGGGGAGGGTGGGAGAAGAAGGAAATTGGAGGGGGGGAGAAGGAAATTGATGGTGGTAGGGGGAGAGATTGTCACACACACACACACACACAATGCACCCCTTGCACACAGAAAAACACACAATGTATTACACACAGACACACATACACAAGCAATGCATCCCTTACACACAGCAACACACAATGCACCCCTTACACACACTCAGTGCATCCCTTACAGATGCACACTGCATCCCATACATACACAAACTCACCTTGCAGCCCTTACACATACAAACACAGATTCACACAATGCATTCCTTACACACATCAGGACATCCCACACACACACACACACACACCCCTGTGAACAAACTCATTGGTGGAACATGAAGGTGGACCCTGGGACCCAGACATTGAGCTGTGTAAAGGGCCCTCAAAAAAATGGAGCTGCTTCCCGTTCTCCCAGAACATTGATTTTTGTGACCACAGTTACAAACCGCCTCCAGAGAGCCTGTTTTACACCAGACCAGTGGAGCCAGACTGCAGCTAGAGCCCATCATCATCCTCATCTGGTTGTAAGTAGGCAATCTAGTATATTATTCGTGGCACTAATCTCTAATTTACCTCACATTAAAGGGACACTATAGTCCCCAGAACCACTGCAGCTTAATGTAGTGGTTCTGGTGTCTATAGTCTGTCCCTGCAGGCCTTTTATTGTAAACACGGTAGCACTGCAGCACTGGTGTTAGTTAACATGGCAG